CCCTGGGTAGAGTGCCATGGTGTCACAGCTCAGAGCAACCTCAAACTCTTAGGCTCAAGAGATTCTCTTGCCTCAGCTGGGACTACAGGCACCTGCCACAACTCCCGGCTTTTTTTTTTTTTTACTGCAGTTGTCATTGTTGTTTTAGCTGGCCTGGGTCAGGTTCAAACCCTCTAGCCTTGGGGTATGTGGCCAGCGCCCTACACACTGAGCTATGGGCGCCACCGGGGCTTACCTTTCTTGAATGACCTTGGGTGAAGGTCATTAAGGCTAAAGTGGTGTTTCGTACTGACCAAATAGTACAGAAACATACAGTAACCACGCCATTAGTTTGCAGATTGAAATGTGATTAACAACTTATACTTCAAGTAGTTCCAGAACATACCGCCTCCCTTTTCTTTTTGGCATCCATTGAGAATTGGCCTCTAAATTCCTCCTCCTCCCCAACTGTTCAGGTTTCTCGTTTCTGTATCACTATGCAGACTTCCTGATTTGACTACTCTTCTCAGGCATGATTAAACTTTATTTCTGTTCCTTTTTCTTATGCCTTCTTATTTCACTACAAATACGGTTATATATCATTAACCTTCATTCATTCACAATATTATCTTTTAAATTAACCTAAGAAAATACTGACAAAGCTCTACTAATTGACAATCTTGTTATGTAGTCTTGGGAGTTCTGTTCTAACAAATGTATCTAGAAGTAACTTTATTAATAGTAGCCATCACTGTTAGGGCAAGAGAGTGAGGAAGTAACTTTTTCCTGTTGTAATATTCATTAAGATTTTATCTGCTGTCTGGCAGGTAACCCTAACACTCTAGGAGGCCAAGGTGGAAGGATCCCTTAAGCTAAGGAGTTTGAGACAAGCTAGAGCAAGAGCTAGACCCCATCTCTAACAAAAATGGAAAGATTAGCAGGGTATTGTGGGGGGAGCCTGAATCCCCGCTACTCATGAGGCTCAAGAGGATCATTTGAGCCCAGGAGTTTGAGGTTGTTGTGAGCCAGGCTGTAGCCATGGCACTCTACACGTTAGAAAATAAATATCAAAGTGGTTTGCAGACATGACAATATACCCATTTCAAATAAACAACACACAACAAAGATGGGCACAGACAAAGCAGAATCTTTCTACCTATTCTGAGTCTTTTACAAGTGAACAAAGAAGGTACTCATGGTTGGAAAGCAGCAACTCTTTCAATAAAGAAATCTTGTAGGAAATATGCCACTGGGATAGGTGACAAGCATTTTTTGTTCATCTAAAAGCCTTCTTTCCCCTGTAGAAACACAGAGTGAGCAATAACCTTTCCATTTTCCTGAACTACTACTCAGCTGACTCTGCTCTTCAGGGAATGCACCATATTCCTAAGGCTCCCTCTCTGGTACCACTATAATTTCTATAAATCTTTATTCTCATAAAAGACCTAACACTCCCTACCAGACAGGCTGCAGGACTATGCTGGCCTGAAACGATAACACCCTCTCTGAAGAGGTGACATGATCAATATCTTTTTCTGAACAACAGCAAAGTAGCCCTTGAGCATGAACAGGTGACTGAGAGCAGGCTCTGCCTCTCTTGGCTGTCTGATGGAGAAAGCTGGGTCATTCACACTCAACACACTTACTTGCCAAAGCCTTTCTTCCAGCTGCATGGTAGGCTACGATGTATTTCTTCCCCTCTCGATCTTCTGTTTTTGTTTCTAATCCTGGAAACAGAGATTTGATAGCTTGATGGATGACAGTTCTTTTCTCTTTGGTGTCCTCAATAACCTATTGAAAACACAGATAGCAACAACACCACTAACTTAATAAACATTAAACAGAGAAGTAACATAGTAAATTGTAAAAACACTGCTCACCTGATTAACCAAATAACAAAAGTGCCGAGTTATGACTTCAGAAATATTTTAGAGCTTCACAATATTGTTTTTTTTTTTT